CAATCCACATTAACAATTAATTTTGTATGTCTTAAACCCTGCATTTGCATTGGATCTGTGGAATTAATCATGATCATTGGCATTTCATTTAGTTTCCTACAGAATACTTTTGAAGGGCAGAAACCACTAAATCAGGCGTCTGTAGTTCAGTGAGAGAAAATTAGTGCTTTTTTCCTTTTTTCCTGACATTTTTTGTGTGTTGCTAGGGTTAATTTTGGTATCAACTAGCAGGTTAGGGTGTAAACTACTGCCAGTTTTTTTTTTTCAGGACCAGGCACAGATGCCGTGCAGTCGTGAGACCTCTGGCGGAGGGGGCTACTGACTGTGAGTGGTGCAGTGGTTTGTTTACAAACAGAGGGGTGCACATGTTCAAGTAATGCCGGTAAGAAATAATGTCTGATGACAGTATATTTTTTGCCATTGGGAGTTATGTCAGTGTGTCTGCTGTCCATGGGGATGGGAAATGTTTCATCCATTAATTTTGTTCATGCAGTTTTACAGGCATTTCTTAGTATGGTCGTCAATGGGTAATTATTCGGTGGTTTCTGCCCTATTATTGCGTCCTAGTTCAGACATAGTCTGCACGCTGAAACGGCGGACACGCTGTTATAGTTTTCCCGGTGAGCTATATAGGCCTATGTATTCACTGCTTTTCTTCTTATACAAATGATGCAATGTCTTGCCGGAGGCATACATCCATTGTTCATTTGAAATCTACGCTCTATAACCCCAGGCATTTTACGAATATTTCAATGGTAATTCACTGCAGTCATATGCCGGTACTTGGCAGGCGCATTCATTTTCTGTTCGACTGCAGCAATCATTTTTAAAAGGCTAGAGCATCAGCTTAATAAATTATTGGTCAGGAAACAGTTTTAACGACGTGGAAGTATTAGTACCTTCATACATGCAGTGTCGTGGGCATCAAAGTGTGTAGTTGAACATCTTTGCATCAGTTTGAAATATTTCCCGCAGCTCTTTAAGATCTGGCTGCGAAACAGTTGAAACGTAGGATTTCCACACCTCAGCTGTAGTGTTAACCTTTCTTCCATCTCGGTCTGGAAAGGAGTATGATGTAGCTAACCCCAACATTGTGAGCATAAAATTGACATCATCCTCTATATTTTCGTACCGCGCAATGACGTCATAGTCTACGTCACACGGGATACAAATTTCTTGATAACTCATCCAGTGGTGGTCTTTTATCCCGGTAGCATTCTTTGTGTTATTAACGACGTATTTTGCAAACGCTCTAAATAAAAGACCGGCACCAGTTTTTAAGGTCTTTTTTGGTGGATTCAGCTCGAACTTTTTAGCGATAAAGGCGGCAAGTTCCCCGTAGAAATCTCTTCCTTCTGAATCAAATTTGTCTCTGAAGGCTGACACCAGTCTCTCCAGAGGATGTCTTACAACGATAACCTTAAGATAATTCCTCAACCTTAAGTCGATGCCAAAGGGAGAGAAATCTTTAAGTCGTAGTACGTATCTTTTATGATAAAAATTGTGGACGGCAACAAAGGGGATTCCCCTATACGCCGAAACATTGACAGCCCCAACAAGTCCATATAACAGTCTTTTAAAGTTGGTAATGCCAACTTTAGGAATTCCGCAGTAAATAAGTCCATGTATTTCATCAACGAAAAAGTTTGTTTCGTTAGAATAAGCGTGATTGGGATTCCGCTGATAGTTTGGGCCGTGCTTTAAGGCACACGTATCTGTTATTTGACGTTTTCTGTCCGCCATCTTTCTTCTCCAGGTAAGAGGGACTTGAGCCCAAGAAAAATGCTGTAAACGAAGTAACAGATAAATTCATACGTCCACTAAGCCGGAGTGAACTACATATACCTTATCAAGTGGTTATGAATCGTTCAAAGTGCTGTCGTACAGAAGAGAGAATTAGCTACAAAGAGCGGCTTTGTGACGTTCTTTAAGTAACGTCTTCAGTATACCTTGTTTTAGGGAAGGAAAACATTGGCCCTAATATTAATATTGTGATATTGTGTCATCATTCGATTGTGTTTATGAAACAACCATTGTACCGTTGTCTACATTTCTCCTGCGGCAAAAATAATTGCTCCCTCTGCAATAAAATTGCAACAATTTACTTGCTCCGGGTTATTTGGGGAATTAAACAAAAGCAGTTACTTGGTTTTTTGATTTGCATTACGGCCCATATAGCCGAAAAAGATCAGTGGGTCATTATATTAAGAGAGGCTTATAGACTGAAAGTACATCACTTCAGAGACAACTCGCTTGGAATAAATGGTGTTGTATTTCTTACCCGATCCCTGGTGAGGTCGTGCAACTCCCCATTTCTGTTCTCTGCTGAAAATATGAAATTCAGTGTCTTGTAACTGATGATCTTTTTAAAAAAAGTCTTATCATGGGAATATCAGGGAATGTCTCTATTTTTTTCTGTCAATTTTTAAACGCGATTTATTAAGCTCGTTTACGTGCTCATGGGTGTGCACACAAATGCCACGTACCTCGAAAAGAGTGAGTTCAAGTCAGATCAACGAGTCAGATCGGTAATCAACAGGGCGGATTTAGGGCGTCTTCCGGGTCTTCAGGAAGACGGTCAGATTTTCAAGTTTACATGGACGTGTATTTAATTTTTTTATGTCGGAAGACGGTCAAAAATGGAGGATGGATCAACAAAGATAAATTGGAAGACTGTCAGAAAATAACTCTGGATCCGCCCCTAAATTGGCTCGTGGAACTTAAAATAGTGATAGATTACAAATAATTCACCAGAGTTTAGTGAAATTCCGATCCATTTTACTACTGCACGTTGTGGCAAATGGCACTCGGATGCACGGATGCAGAAAATATGTAAAAATGATGAATTCTAATTTCCCTCTCACAGAAACGGTGTAATGGAGAAGAATAAGACAAATTTTTATTGGACTTCATCAGATATCTCTGAGTCAATAAAATACTTTTTCTCGTCCAGTATGTCTCTCTGTATTTAAAATGACCCCACTGATAAAGATAGGATTTCAGTTATAAAGCAGAATGTGGAAGACTCGAAGGTCAATTTGTTCGGCGGTTTCCGCTACAATATGCAACAGGAAAATAATAGAAGCATTTCGTAAGTACCCTGCCTTTTTTATGATGTGAAAGATAATGCAAGTCTACCACTTTAATTCGACTCCATTTCTGAGGAGGAAGCCCTTTACCAACCTGTCTGCAACAGCAACAAAACAAAAGCTAAAAAATCCACCAACACAGCACATTTTAGAAACAAGTAAAATAAACAGAAAATTTTCAACTTCATCGTTTTTCCTTACCTGAGTAGTTAAATGGACGTTGGTTACATGGTTTCAGTAGCCATGTCATTAATACACCAGCTAACAGTAAGTGTATCGTCACTATCACTAGCAGTAAATACCGACAAGCTCGCGTCATGTTTGGGCTCTTCTGCACGTCCAATTATCCAAATGGCTTTATTTTATTGCGAGCCCATACAGTTAGGTAGGCAAAGGTTGACGGTATTGAAAATTTATTATGTCAGTGCTATTATGTTAAACATCGGTGTCAACCTGTTTACAGCCTGTTTGTGTCGAGATTTTGCGTAGAATCTCACGTGCCCTGGGAGTCTTTCGTGCGAAATTTTGAGTTAGTACACAGCCCGTATATAAGCACGTACGTACGGAGATTATTGGATATGTAAAAAAAAAAAAAAAAAAAAAAAAAAAAAAAAAAAAAACTCTACGAATAATCTGTCGTTTACAGTATTAGCCTTAGGCTACTCTTAAAATGCAGCAAAGGTTGGCTGTCCAGTCCTTGGCTGCAGGCGCGAAAGTCGCATATTTTGCTTTCGTTGGTAATGGTTGTGCAAATGCACCGACTTCCCTCCAAATGTGTCACTACCAGGTTGACACAAAATGTGAGGATTTATCCGTATTTAGTCACAATTTTTTTAATAAGAGATGCAGATTGCGGAAATAATGGGGGATAATATGTACAGCAATGACCAGAAGTGATGTTCAAAATACTGCTATGCCCACCCTCCCCCCGCACACATCTCTGTTTGTACATGTATCTTTGTCACAGAATTGAAAAAAATTCAGAATATTTACGGTCATGGACAAAAATTATTTAAAAGTGACTAAATTTTAATTGAGTGTGGGTCTCCTCATCCTAAAAAAAAAAGCCATTCCTTGCTGAAAATGTCTTTTTCTTCGGCAGATGGCTTTGTTATAAATTGGAGTGTTCTTTACCTATATTTTAAAGCAGCCAACAAGCAGATGATATCGTGTGAGAATTTTGTCACTTCCTCTATTTTTATGCCACACATTCTGAGACGTGATAGTAATGCTCTAAAGGGACTATCAGTACTATAAGACGGTGAATCTATACAGAGTATTACTAACAAAGCATTGCTTTGTGGAAAATGACCAATTTATTTTGTTTAAATATATTAAGTAAATCCTACAAATCCCCATCGATAGCTTAAAATTTGATAAGCAAAAATACAAATAAACAAATAATAATAAAATAATAATTTTGTACTTGGCATTTCACGTTCATAGCAGGTATTATTAAATTTTTTCATCTGCAATGTTTGCAGTTTGTTTTTTTCTTCTGATTTTGTTTATGTCATATTTCTTTCCTTTGCTCGTCATAAAACTTATTTTCAACTCATGTTATTTATATCAACGTCTTATTAGAATGTTACTTTTAAAGCAGTAAACCTCCTGACATAAAAACACGCTTATTCTTGTGCTCTGTACAACTGATAAACATTTAAAACATATTTAAAGTTATCTNACTGGGGTCAGTGGACACTTCTTACCAGACCAGGACATCCCTGCTTCTGGGACATTTAGAAAAAATGTTTAAAATGATGGATTTGGTCATTTGGTCATTCTCTCTCTCTCTCTCTCTCTCTCTCTCACACACACACACACACACACTTGATTTCTCTTGAAAGCACCAAGTGAAAACATCGAAGGTAATATGCTTTAGTAAAATTTCTCACAAAACAAATTTTAAAATATTTGTTTGTTTTCACCAGACTGCTTCAGAGAGTTTCTAGATTCCGTGGAGCCAACAGAGAGAAAGGGGAAGTCAACGCAGCATCTTGGTTTACCAGACCAGGTATTACTTTTATCAGACGTGATTTATTAATTCATTAATTTATTTATTTATTTTAATCAAAAATCTTTTGTTGTTGTTTTTTTTTCGTGGCTGTCATCTTACTTCAGCTGCTCTCCAAGACCCTCAGTTTAAGTCCACCAAGTCTTTTCTCCTGGAATTTTTCTTACAATCCAAAATCATGTTGGTTCAATGTCAACATCTACATTAAGCCAAGGCTAATTTCCTAGTGAGGTAGCAGACAAGAGCTGCCAGTTTCTGAATAGTTTGAACCTTATTTTATGTAAAGTCAACATTTATCTGCAGCCAATAAACAGGCTTACTAACTAAAGCATCTTCTGGATGTGATTGTAACAGTTGATTAATTATAAGTTTGTTTTTTTTTTATTTGTAATTTTAACAGGCATTGTAGTCTACATAATATCCGACTATCTGCCATATATTTAACCAATTGCATTAATAAGACAATTTTAAATATTTTGATATGGCCACAGTAAATCAGAAAAGAACTTCATCAAATGTGTTATTTAATGAGAATACAGGATAGAGGCTTTTCACCTGGTTATACGCATTCCCTGGTGAAGATGCTCTTAATAGACATCAAAATATTGGCGGTAGACAACATTTTCAATATTACCTGTTGACTGAATAAAAATCCTAATTAAAAATTTTAGCATTTGTAACAGCAAAGTATTTAAAATTGGCTACATGACCGTGTCTATTTCTGTTTGCAGTGGATGAGGCGGAGGCCCCGGGTTACCATGATGTTATAAAGAATCCCATGGATTTCAGCACAATAAGGAGGAAATTGGAGGTAATGGCAAAAGACTGTTAGTAAAAAATGATATAAAAGTTAAATGTTTGTTTATATATCAGATAGGAATAGGGGGGAAAACTATAGATAAAAGCACAGGGTTGTTAGAAAAAAAAATAATATTAAAGGTAAATGTTGGTTTATATATCAGATAAGATTAGGAAGAAAAACTGGTGATGAAAGCAAAGGATTGTTAGAAAAAAATAATATAAAAGTTAAATGTTTGTTTATATATCAGATAACAGAATATCAGATAAGATATGACAGACACTGGAAATTTTACTGTAATTGTTACAAATGGAATGGAATTATATGACAACTTGAGTCAGGTCGAGTTTAATGGAACTGAATTATTTGTCCTTGTTTTAGGTTGGAATGTATGCAAACTTCAGCGAGTTGAATGATGACATGTTGTTGGTTCGAGACAACTGCTACAGCTACAACCCGCCAGGACACGATGCGCGGAGAGATTGTGATGAGGTGTTCGCCTTCTATCAGATGGAGTATGAAAAGACCGTGGAAAAATGGAACAAGGTACGTTTTTAGGGTGTGCTTAGACAGGGGCCACTTTGGATTGGAAATAGGTCCAATATTCTTAAGCAGGTCACTAAATTGATGAAACATAAAAGAAGAGTGAAAAAAGTAAAACTTGAAAATTTATGGACAAGGATGATAGAAGTTTTTATCATAGATAAACATATATTTAAGCCTGGCCATGACTTGGTTTTAACACTGATTTGTGAGAGTGCAAAAATCTAAAGAACCAAATCTAAAGTTTGGATGTCAAGCAGTATGGACTAATGTAGGCATTGCATATACTTGAATTAGAAATCCATGAAATATTTGAGCATTTTCTTACCTACCTTTTTTTTCATTTCAGAGTCAGCAGTTGTCACCTTCAAATAAAAAGATCAAACTTGACAAGAGCCCTTCAAGATCATGATAGGCAATTCACAAGTCAAGAACTTTTGTTAACTTGTAAAGACCGTATAGAGATTGTGCATATTCAGCAAACGTTTCAAGGAATGGCTTAGTCAAGCTAGACGCTCCTTTTAAATTTGTAATGAAATAAATATTACAATGTGTATGTAGTGAAATAAGTTGGATCATTTTCTCTTGCGTAAAGAGAGTTGTAACTTCTTGAGCTCTGTCGATGAGTCAGACAAGTGATCGAGGTCCTTCCATGAAGGGTTTAAATGAAATGTTTCTTAGGTAAAAAAAAACAACTTTTGTATAGTCTCCTCTTTCGTAATGAGTTATTTTTTTAACGAAGTTATGAAAAGTATCAATAACATTTCAGTGGATGAAAGCTATCAATGTTATTATGACTGTTTATGTAGAATGTTTGATACAGTGATAATGTATTGCAGACTTAGACATTTTTAAATTTTCAAATTTTTAATTTCCATCAACACATTGAAAAAAATTGTCCTGAATAATTTCCCTAGATGTTACTACACATCTTTTGTAACTGTTTTTGTCAAATTAAACTGTTACAAATAAGTACAATATTCATGTAAAATAAAAGTAAGCAAATGCTATTTTTTAAAGAATGTTTTATACTATTTACTGACAGTCATCATCACTTCAACTTCATTGACGATCCAGATGGCTCGATCCAACTTCTAGGGAATCCTTGCAAAAGTATAGTCAATGTAATCAGCCTAATTGCCTGATGCACCCCACTTTATAGCACACGAAAGTTAATTACCTCCTAGCTGCTACGACTGTTCTACTAGTATATCTGATGATCTTTGTTGCTTTTAGTGTTTCCCCGCCAACTCGTATTTCCCTTTTAAAAAATTCAGCAATTTTCCCACTCGTGTACAATTTCTGATCCGTTGTTTCACTTAAATTCGATGTTTTATAGCATTTTATTAAAAAAAGTACTATGTCTTTTATGTCCAGGAAGTGTCGGCATTTTGTACCTTAATTGCTTTTATTTGATGGGTTTAATCGTTTTTAGGGTCTAAATCGACATTTGAAAATAGATTTGCAGTATGCTTGGATATAGAAAATGTGACTTTTGGACACTTTCAAACGGAGATGGGACAAGCTTTACAGGTATTTAACGTGGGTCTACAGTTACTAAAAAATGCGCGTCCCATCGCCAGGAATGTGAGTCCGGATGAGACCATTTTTCTAATTTATATAGAGAAAATATGACCGCCCTGACTTTTTTCTCTCACACCTAAAAAAAATGTATATATAAAAAAATTCTAAATAAGATTACATGTTCAGATTAACGTTATATGCACAGTTTAAAATTATTTTTAAATTGAATGGATTAAATATGTATTGTAAAGAAGAGAACATAAAAGGAGATTGATCGAAAAACTAAGATATTAGAAACCGTAAAAAAGGAATTTATGTATTTATGACACCTCATAGCATACGAGAACATTTATCCGTGCAGAATTCTATACGATTATACCGTAAAAAGAATGCATGTACTGCTAAAATTACTGTAAATGTGGTTATACATGTAGAACTATAGTCCTATCACACCTTAACTTTACGTGTTCTCAATTCATAAGCTCGTATTAGTTATTGAAACGCGCAATTCTGGGTGTTTGTTTAGTTTGGGTCCGGCCTTTAGACATATAAATAATAGGCTATATAATTTTTTTTTATTTATTTTTATTTTATTTCGCTTTATACGATAAATCGCATAGTTAAGTCGTCTTCTATATGGTGATTAAAAAGCAGATTCAAGAGCTATCTTTTCCTGGTAAAGTACAGATAATAATCATGGCGTGGCTGGATAAAACCAGTGACACTTGCGATCAACTTGAGAATATATTATCATAAATAATCAAAACAGAAACAAATAAGCAACACGTACAACACAAACTGTTTATTGGGAATACATAAATATAGACTAAAATAAGGCTCGGCAAATTGTTAAGCTGGTTAACGATCGGCCATTCCACCATCTGGCCTTTTCATTGAATAAAAACAACGATGATTTCGTTTTACTTTTTAATTTTTTCACTTTTCATACCAATCCCTAACGCATTTTTTTTTTTCGAAAACAAAAGTGATTTCCTCAAAATTAGACCCTTGTTGCACTCTACAACAAATGAATCGATTTTGCGTTCCGAATATAAAATGTTGAGATAATTACACACAATATAACACTTTATAAATTTAGACAGTTGTAGAATGTCAACAAAACCAATAATAATAATAATTTAGCTAGATTTCCGCCAGGTTTCAAAACAGCGACTTTATAATAATAATAATAATAATAATAATAATAATAATATTTATTTCTTAAAACTGCACTACACTACCGTCTCAGTGCTGTTTACAGGTAAAATTATCAGGATTACAACTAATTATATATATAATAAATGCTAAGGTTAAAAAAAAATAATTAAAATAATTAATGCTGGTTAAAATAGTAATGGTCTGAACAATAAAACTTTTTTTCTGATAAAATGAGAAAATATTAATTAAAATACTGTGCAAATATAAATACTATCAGTAGTCCGAATGTGTGAGGGTAATTGATTCCATAAAATTGGTGCTGAAATTGAAAATGCCCTGTGGCCGTAGATTTTTTTTTTTTTTTTTTTTTTTTTTTTCATTTCTGATAAAACGAGGAGTGGAGGTGGATCTGGTAGACCTGGTGAGACTGGGTGTACTTGGATGTAGCACCGAGTTAAAATATGAGGGGCATTCACCTCTGGTGATTTAAAAAAAAAACAACAGTAATTTAAAAACAATTCTCTGTCGTACAGGAAGCCAATGTAGTTCGAATAAAATTGTTTGATCTGAGAGGGGTTTTGGTCAGTAGTCGTGCTGCGGTCAGTAGTCGTGCTGCTAATACTCAAATATTATACTCAAATATTATTAGTTGAATGATGCAAATAGTAAACAATTTTGCTCTTTCCTTTGTGCTGACGATCCACAAATACCAGCTGGCATGCAATGGCGGCAAAACGTGTGTGGCTGAAAACAATGATAATAACAATATGCCATTTATACACTAGAGGAAATGACGTGAAATCACAACGTGAAAATAGCACACAATAAAATAGTTTCAAATAGCAAGAAATCAGACTGTCATTAGGGTAGGGTAAATCTCATAGAATAAAGTCGGATTAATAATACAATCAGGTAACTAATGAAGCGGCACTTATCTGTGGGATGCAAGAATTAAAAGTGGCGGATGATATATGCATGTATGAATGTGAAGGAGTATAATCTAAACTTGACATAAGCCACATCATAAGCACAAAGGACTTTTTGACCGATATGCCTCTATAATCACCTGTTTCTCTCTATATTTTTTTAAAGTTATTATTTACCCTACCCTACTGCCATGGTATCCACGCGGCATAAACCAGTTAATAATAAAACAGTTTTGTGCTGTAACTTCAATGTGAGCCATATGACTATACTATGAGAGTCAATGTGCGCAATAGTAATGAAATGAACTCGAAAAAAGTAGCATTTTTAAAAAATGCTAAAAAAAAAAAATCAAAATTAGTCTTACACAATTATAGCAGTACAGAAGACTAATATTCAACAAAAAAGACTATAACAAACCTCTACACTTTGTCTTGGATACTATAAGCGTCCTGCGCGTGAAGCTGGTACAGGTAACCTTATAAACCTTGTATTTACAGTCACATTGACAACAAATAATCAACTAGTTCATAGTGCCGATTGACTGAAGTAACTTGATGAGAACAATATTTGTCGCATGACAGAATTAAAATGACCGAAAGTCCGAAACTCTATTACTAGACATTCTACCATTATTGAAATACAACATGACCTAATAATCACCAAATTGTCCTCAATGACCCACGGTAAAGTCACCCCACAATGAGATACCTGGTTTCAATCATTAGATTAATGTTTTTCGATATTTAAAATGCAGTGGTATTTCTATGGATTTAATTAAAAATGTATTAATGGAATTGCTGTGTGGGTATGTTTCACAAAAGTAAGATTATGATAATAGATTATGAGTATAATGAGTATAATGGACTGTTTAAACCGAATTCAAAATTTTCCTTATGACACGCAAAAATATGTTATACAATATCACCTATGCCACACTATAAGCCAAACAGTGCAGGCATTTACATATGTGGCCACGAAAGAACTAGTGGCAGTATCGCGACTGAGAAGATGGAAAACCATCCCGAACACATCGCAGCTTTCGTGGTCGCCGAAGCCGGCTTGGGGGAATGTGAAAAAATGCCTGTTGCAGGCGAGTTGCCCTGTCCAGTGGGGTTATTTGAGATACATTTTCGCCAGTGGTTATCTCGGATAACGTATATCGGCACATCTGTCCCATTGTACACAATGGCTGGCTTGTTTGCAGCAATCTTGTCCTCAAGTTCGAACAACTTACGGAGTCCTTCATTGTAACTTCTAACATATTCACTAAGCATAAGCGGTATGGAGATTTGAAATATGGTGCTGTTGGTGAATTCTTTGGTCTGTTCACCGGAGAGAGATGTGGTATTCAACAAAGCACATTCAGGCCGCTTATGTCTGTAAATATTCCACTGGATGACATGTAATTCAAGAAGGCGTATTGTTTCTATATCGTCGACCAAATCATAACGAGCAAACGATTCACATTTGGTTGATGCCTGGAAAACATCAACACTTGAAGGAAATCTTAATGCAATGGTAAGAGTATATACCGCATTGAAAAGATGAGAAAACGGTGTCGGACAGTCGTCTCCACCTCTCCTTCCAGGGCAAGCGATCTGAAGGAAAGAATTGCAGTTAGATACAATGCTCATATATCTAGGAAACGTCACTGATTTAATTATGTCTAATCAATGCATAGTGTTGGACTTAATCACAGCAAAACACCGCTTGGTTTATAATTCTAACAAACTTGATTGACTGCAACCTTTATGTTATGTGTATAGCAGTTAATTGTATAGCAATCGTAAAGTTACTCACCAAGTTATCGTTTGGCTGGCAGGGTTTAGTTGAATCTTGTTTATGTGGATCAATATATGCGTAGAAACCCAAAGGTGAGAATCCTCTTGCGTTCAAATCGACTACAATGAAATATGTCAATCAGGCAGTTGTCTCCTTTCAAACTTAAATATATACATTTAGATGCTGAGCATAATACAGGCTATAGACATGTTTTTAAACAGCTTTGACATGGCATTCTCAAGTCTAGATTTAAAATCGTACTTTTTCATGCTTACAAAACCAGAATCAACGATTCGGGTTATAAAAAAAGGCGAAAAGACATTTAGTTATAGAGAAAAAAAGGTTAATCCGTCAACCAGCTTATTGTCAGAAATGGTAATAATAAAATACCCACCATCAGTAGGACACTCCACAACTACTGGAGGCTTCTCAAAGTTGCAGAGCCAGCAGAAATGGCTTTTGGCATAGGTGACGGTGTGTCTGCTTGGTATGATCCGGGTTATGGAATAGTTCGAGTCTTCACACAGGTCCTTATAAGGTGACATGGGGTTACAGTGAGCACCATCGTACCATTGTGCACCCAGCACGTGTCTGTTAAACCTGCCGCCG